CTCCCCTCACCTCCCCTTCCCTTCCCTTCCCTTTCCTTTCCTTTATCACCTATTTCTTTTGTTTATTTGTTTTCTTTGTTTTCGTTTCCTTCTCCTTTGTGTTCTTTTTCCTAAGGAATGATTCTAATAAATGTCATTAGTGCAGTCTATGTTTGTAAGAGTGCATATGCTTATCAAATGTTTTGTGCGTGTGTGTTTATGTGTGAGCTTTGATGAGACCTGTATCTGTTTTCCTCGGGATCTATTTAGCACACTCAGTGCATAAAGACCAAGTCTGAGTGTGTCTGTTCATCACTGTCTGTCATACGCTGAGATTTGTGCCCTGCTGTGACTGTGTGGATGCATTTTTCATATGGTCATATTCCATTTAGCAGCCAACCTAACTTTCTGTCTCTTTCTGTCTCTCTCCAGGCGGCTATAGAGGACAGGTCAAAGCTCTTACGGGAAGCACACAGGGATTTTGGACCCTCCTCTCAACACTTCTTATCCAGTGAGTCCCTAACCCACATTAAAACAGTACAAAACACATGAATAAATTCACACTATTATGTCAGCTTTATTTCACTGGTCTCCAGCGCAGCCTAAAGAGCGAGTCGATTACTTTTACTACCCCTCCTGAAAAGTCCAGCTTGGACTAGCATCAATTTCCAATGGTTAGTGCTAGTTTGGAGCTGGTTTGGTTGGTGGACCAACACAGTTCACCACCAGCTAGTGAAGTTGGTTGACAAGTAAAGTCTTGCTGGTTGAACTAGTTAAGAAGTCAAGTGGGAAGCACGCCCATATTTAAAACATAACATAATTCTCACTTTGCTTGGTTACACATCTTTTCAGATGCTTATACATATGCTTACACATATACTACTGCTGTATATGATTAGAGATTTGATCAAACCTGGAACCAAGGGTATTAAAGTGCAAAGCTTATCAACATAATTGACATGATACTTCAAATCATGCAGTTTGTTGAACAACTGTCTGATGTTGCTTTACTAAGAGACTTGCATCTTACTTACATCTTTCTTTTTTGTCAACATTTTTCAGTTGTTACTCTACTTTTGTTTTAATATTCAACGTTCATACAATATTCACAGATATAACAGCTTGTGTAGAGTGTTAATAGAAGCAGTGTTGTATTCACAGAGGTTTGCCGATTCATTCTTAATGAGGGGACAAAAATAATTTAAATTTGCAGACAAACAATAGCTCTCAGCCATGAGAAATGAAGCAGCCACTGTCAGATAGTGTAGAAAATCAGACACCGCAGCACACATAGATGCACTTTAACACTGCTTTTGTGTTTACTAATTCAGAGGTTAATTGTCCACCGTTTTCTCTGTCAAGAGCAGTCATTAACACACACACACACACACTCATTTTATTTGATCAGTTTTAATGTTTCCTTTATTGGCAATGAAAATGTGCCAGTTACGTTGAATGAAATAACAAGATGAAACAAAATATTCTCTCACACCCCATACCTACTTTTGTCTTTTTTTTTTGCTTTTTCCTTCACGAAATGTTGACAGCAAATGAGGTCAAGGTTTTTTCTTTTCTTATCTCCTTTGAACCTTGTTACCTTCCTTCCTTCCTTTCCCATCCATGCTTGTGCCAGAAGTAACTCTGCAGTTAGAGGCTTCGATCATAGAGTTCAGTGTATTGTGTAATGCTGACATGAGACACGCGGAAAGCTCTTTACTTAAGACCATCACTCAGAACTTTTGAGTTCTTTGAAGTTGTAACATCCTGAATCCCATGGCATGCGCTGTGAAAGCAGTGTTTCGTACAGTAAATTCTGCTGAGAGTGCAGTTGTGTGATATATATATATCCAGTGTGAACCTCAGGAACGATACTTCAGTGTCTGGAGAAATTAAAAGCACGCTAATCCGCTGATATGAGAGTGATGTTTTTAATTAATGCTTCATTTACCAACAGCATCATGATCAGACCCCTGATCTCCACTCTAATCAATCTTTAATTATGTGTCCGCAGCTTCGGTGCAGTTGCCCTGGCAGAGAGCAGTGTCCCAGAATAAAGTGCCCTACTACATCAAGTAAGTGCTCCCTCAGACATAGCCACACATCTGTTTCCATGTGGACTGATCTCTTTAAGGGCGCTTTCACTTTAGAGCTTGTTGGAGCAGAACTGAGGCGTTTTGACACCAGCGTTCGTCTCGTTCGGCTGGTGTGAAATCCGTTTTCTGGATTTAGAAACACAAAAGCGAACCACACCAGAATTTGGCTGAAGTGGTGACTGAGCTGATGTACGGCTCATGCGGACACTATTGTGAATTACTTTTGACATTAACATAGTTTGGACAAACTTTTGGAAGTAAATTGTATGTATATATATATATATATATATATATATATATATATACTTAAAACATTTTTTTTTTAAATCTTACAATCTTATATATATATTTGCAGTATACCACCGTTCAAATGTTTGGATCTGTAAGATTTTTTAAAATGTTTTTGAAAGTGTCTGAGGCAGAATTTATTTAATCAAAAATATAGTAAAACAGTAATATTGTGAAATATTAGTGCAATTTAAAATAGCTGTTATATTTTAATTTATATTATATTTATATATTATATTCCTGTGATCAAAGCTGAATTTTCAGCATCATTCCTCCAGTCTTCAGTGTCACATAATCCTTCAGAAATCATTCTAATATGCTGATTTGAGAAACATTTCTTATTATTATCAGTGTTGAAAACAGTTCAGTTTCAATGCTAGAAACCAGTTTTAAATTTACTTAAATGATTTTAGCAAATGGCTGCAATATAACAAAGAGTGAAAAATTTAAGAGGGTCTGAATACTTTCCGTACCCACTGTATATATATATATTAGAGGTCGGTTTTGGGTTGGGTTCGCATTAATGTTTCATGAATAGGTTCGGGTCGGGCTCGGGTTTAAACTAAAACTATATGCAGTAGGCTACGCTGCTTTCATAGATGCACGCACACACATTATTGCACACGACAACACAGCATGGAAACTTTTATTAGTAAAATAGCTTCGACAGGCTACTGACTCGCAACGTTATATTTCTCTGCAATAAGGGGGTAAAATCGCTGTTTTTGAAGTAAGTAAGCCTCATTGTGGTTTTTAAATTGGCTATTCGTTGTGGGGGAAAAAAAAGATTTCGGGTTAGGGTCAGGTTCGGGCTCTAAATTTAACTGTGCCACTCGGCGCGGGTCAGACGATCTCGGGTTCGGGTTTCAGTTTAAAGCCCGTGCAGACCTCTAATATATATATATATATATGTGTGTGTGTGTGTGTGTGTGTATTTTTCAGGATTCTTTCTTGAATGGGAAGTTTATTTCAAACATTAATTTGTATTTCCAATGTTTATCTGAAATAGAAATCATTTATAACGTTATAAATTAATTTACTGTCAATTTTGATCAATTTAGTGCATCCTTGCTGAAAAAAAAAACATTCTTAAAAAAACAGAAAATAAAAACCAATCAGACCAAGTGCGAAAGCAGCAGTGAACACTTCTTGGCCTGAACTGGGATGCCAGGGTCTCAGTGGAGATCGGGTTCTGTATTATAACTCACATTTGTCATGTAAAAACAGTCAAATCCAAGCCACCGTGACAAGCTGGATTTATTCAGTAAATTCAAGCGTGATCTCACAACGTCTCTGCAGACTATAGGCAATTCCCTCAGTTACAGCTCCTTTGCCTGAATACATGGTCCCTTCAGCTAAGTAGCCATCGAGCCCCAAGAGACAGAAATGGAGAGAGAAAGACTGTTGCTTATAGCAGCATCCTGACAATGGGCCGGCTTGGAAATCAACCAGAAATGGAGGATGAATGGCATATGAATTAAGATGGGAAAAAAATATAATAGTGACCAGAGAAAGAAGAATATACTTTCTGAAAATTCACCATGGCATCTGTAGTCTCCATTAAAATGCATGGTTACTACAGTTATTAGTCACTAAACTGTGATGCTGAATTGTGCTGAACAGATTGTTCCATGTCATCCGGATCAGCAGTGCATTATGTTTTAACCCTGGAGTTTTGTAGTTGAGAAAATGAGATGAAAGGGGCCTGTAAAAGCAGAAACAGACACAAGCAGCCGTGTGTGTGCAGGGAAGCAGGTGTGTTGTGACGAATGCCCAATAGATCGCTCTCTGACAGTCCCCATATGGCTGTGCATATATGAATACAGCAGAGATGCTCTCGTTCCTCATCGTTTCATTTCTTGAGGGAATCTCTCTTACATTCACACAAAAGCCTTGTGTGAGGCTGCTCGAAGCTCTCTGTGCTCTTACATCTAGAGCTGTTCTCCAGAACAAACCTTTGGTTCTCTGTACGACGTGTCCTCTCGGCTCATTGGTCTTCTTGTTCTGAGGCAGCGGGAATTAGCAAAGCATATGGGTCTTTCCAATTAAAAGTCACTGGCTCTCAGTGCCCTGGTAATTGTGAGGGAGTGCCCTCAGCCATCTGAAGTCAGAGCTCAGTGTGGAGGGCGATCTATGGGAGCTTGTTGGCCATGACAGACTGATTTACCTGTGAAACAGCTTTAGAGAAAAGAAAACTATGACAAAACTGCCCCTAACAAGGTGTTTTTACACTTGGGTGATCTTTAAAGGGTTAGTTCACCCAAAAATGAAAATTCTGTCATTAATTACTCACCCTCATGTCGTTCCAAACCCGTAAGGCCTCTGTTCATCTTCTGAACACAAATTAAGATATTTTTGATGGAATCTGAGAGCTCTCTGACCCTCCCATAGACAGCAAGGGTACTACCACGATCAAGGTCCAGAAACGTAACAAGGAGATCGGTAAAATAATCCATGTGACATCAGGGGTTCAACCGTAATTTTACGAAGCTACGAGAACACTTTTTGTGCGCAAAAGTAAAAAAAAAACAACTTCAACAATTCGCCGCCGCCTCGTCACCCTGTAGCGCCATTTTGGAGAATATCCACTGAACACAAGCAGCGTATGTTGTTCCGCGTGGCGCAGCTGACACAGAATAGCATACGCTGTTTGTGTTCAGTGGATTGTTGAATTTTGCTCGCAAAAAGTATTCTCGTAGCTTTGTAATATTACGGTTGAACCCCGGATTATTTTACCGGTCTCCTTGCTACTTTTCTGGACATTGATCGTGGTAGTACCCTTGCTGTCTATGGGAGGGTCCGAGAGCTCATGCGATGTATTAATAGGATGTGTGTTTGTATGGTTTTTTTTTTTGTATTTTATTAATATTATTATTATTAGTAGTAGTGTTTGAATGTTAATATTATTATTATTATGACTGAGATACTGACCCTTCTCCATGTAAATACATAAACTTTCTCTAACAAACACCGCCTCGCATGTTCAACCTGCTTAAAAACTGCCAGAAGAGACAGACAAAGGAAATTTATTTTATCTACGAAGTATTTTGTCGAAATCATATTTCTGTAATTCTAAAGACTGTTTTGTGAATATAATGAGTTGTGTAGAGTTCATGTTTATTCATCAGAGTGTGTTAAGAGACTCGCTCCCTGGACTTCAGAGAGAGAGAGAGAGAGAGAGAGAAAAGAGAGAGAGAGTGTGTGTGTGTGTGTGTGTGTGTGTGTGCTGAGATCAGAGAGCAGCAGCTAATCCTGTAAGCAGCTCAGCGCTGTCAGTGAAACACCTCTCACATCCTGTACTGTAAACCTCTGCCTGCTGCTCAGGATGCAGAATGTAACCAAGCATATATATTAGGGATGCACGTATCGGTATCGGGCCCGATACTGAGCTCATGTACTCGTACTCGTTAAAATGCCCCGATACCAAACGCCGATACCACACAGCATGTGATAAGCGCCATATTCAGACAAAGAAACACCGACAACAGAACAACAGAATGGAGTTAAGGATGTCTACTACGAAGTATATGTGTGCAATGAATATAAAGTTAAACATTCAGTATTAACGCCTGTATAGCTGATGTGCGCGAGCTGATAAGCAAAGCACACTGCGTGGATTGAGCGCGCGGCGGCGCAGATGCACGAGCTTGTCGAGTGAATATACCTTTCTCAGACATCACTGGAAAGTTTGTAGTTCTGTCGGATACGTCAAAAACAAGTAAAACAATGCACAAGTTACTAAACGGTAGGGAGAGAGAGAGCGAGAGAGAGCGAGAGAGAGAGAGAGAGCGCGCACTTCTGTTGTGTGATCTTTGATGTTCACTCACTTAACACACGCATCATTTG